AAGGACTCCGCCATCGTCTTCTGGTGGAACCAAGGTTCGAATCTATTTCACTCGAAATGGAAGTAAGCTCAACAATTACTACTTTTATGTTGGTTCTGAGTCTTTTGTTAATCCACTAATCACATACTTGAATCCTCCTTTTTAGGTATGCTTTTGGGTGGCTTTCTGCTTCGTACCTTCGGCGTTCTAGTCACTCTGCCAGTGGTCCATTCGATCAACTACGACATTTCAGTGCCGGTACGTTTCGTCAACTGGACAACTGGTCTGCTGGCTGATGATCTGCCATTGGTCTGGGCCGATTCGCAGAATGCTCGCGAGGCAGGCTACCTCCAACCGGGCGCCTTAGGCGGCGCCTGGTCACCTCCGGAGCCTGGCTCGATGCTCGATTCCGTGAACGCCAAGGCCTGGACGCCGACGACAACTATAGCCTCTCTGAAGGCAGCTAGTCCACTGGGCACCGAGAAGGGGCCCAGGGATTTGGCGTTGGCGTTTGCTTCTCTCTGCAGACCGAACGCCGACTTGTCGAGTGTGCTTCGTCAATTGGCTTTGGCCACTATCCTCACGCGAGCCGGACTCGGTCTCGATCCTGCGGTGTTAAAAGCTGTCTGCGGTAATGTCTTTCGGCTCGCCTTCATCCCATGCTTCTCAGAAGCGGCGGCTTCAGCAATTGTCGGTCGGTTTCTGCTCGGCTGGGACTGGGCCTGGACCCTAATGCTCGGGTATGATTTCATGTAGCTGACGTATAGAGTTTAACGTTTTTAATGCATTGCGACAGATCTTTTTGTATCTGCTTGCGAATTAAATACATTGCGAATAAATTACATAATTGTGCAGACTTTCATTTCGCATGAAAGTACATTGTAAGAGATTCGTAGGTCCAACACATCGGAAGATTGTGACCAATTTCATTCGTTCTATAGCCGTTAGGCGTTAATATGTCACAAACGCAAACTTAAGTACAAGTATAGAATATATGAAGCCCAAGATGTTATGACCTTTGTTATGGTCGCAGTCTCCTTTCGATTTATAGAAGTGGGTTGACCTCGTTGTGGCAACTTGGTCTTTTTGTCTCTTTGACGAGTTCGTAGCTTGGTGCGGAGAATGGCAAAGCTCATTGATGATGCCGACTTCGATGCCGGCGAAACGTTTGAGAATGTATCAAGTCCACTGTCGTATGCTGGGAATCAAGACAACTAATATGGCCGATGACTTCGGACTAGGTGCATTCTACATAGTCACTCTGACAACAAGACCAAGTTGCGACAACGAGGTCAACACACTTTTTAAGTACAAGTATTTGAGTAGAGTTTTGAGATTACCCGTAAATCAGTAATATGAGAAGTATTCATTCTATTTCGTCTAAGGTGATGAAGGACTGGTAGTAGAATTTTCCCACAATGACTACTCGACCACATTGCCACGAGTGCCCTTGGGTCACAGGGCAGATGTGAATTTCAAGGAAGGTCAGGCCTTTTGTCATATCATATTCTTTGGTGGGATTGCTGATGAAGCAAATGTTTATTTCCTATAACAATCGACTACGTTACTTATTTTCGTATTTGAGTAGAGCTTTGATACCCTTAAACAAAATAGGGTGAATACCTCTCATATTAAGTACAAGTAACATGATTAATTTGAATGTGAACTAATTAGATCATCTTATATCCATATATGTTCGATTTTAGCTGCAAGCGTGTATATATAACATGCAGGATAGTGTTCTTGTCTTAGTGTTAATATGAAGGTTAGCGGAAATGTACTAAAGCTCTGAGGACGTCTGTCATAGAACGAAGGAAAGTTCAGCCTGTTTTCACTCGGAACAGGGACAGGTGTCTCGTTGACTTCGTCAACCTGAAGGTTGCATTAAAGCGAAACGGCTGTAGAACGATGGGAATCAGCAGTCGTCTTAGGGTAAGATCAGGCAACGAATCTATTCCTCATGCACTTTTCTACGAGATGAAAGTCTCTACAGAAACGGTTTCTCAAGTGACTCATCAATACCCATTTACTCCTCGTAAAAATTGCATAATCACATGTTTGGCCTATTTTACTACTTCTTATCTTAAAAGAGCTTCTATTGGTGATGAATAGAGTTTCATCGAGAGGTTCATCTCGGCCTAAGATTTGATGAGGAATAATAATCAAAAAATGCATACTTGTAATTACGTTGTAATCATAGGAACAATCTATAAGGATTGCTCTCAAATGTCAAAACGTGTCAGTAATTGCCAGAGTATAGGGGTTTTTTTTCTTTAAACTCGTGTACTGTAGAGACAAAACAACCCGATAAAGAACTACTAACATCCCACCGAGTGTAGTATTTCTCTCCTTTCCCTAAGTGATATTGCATCTTTAGTTATTTGGGTTTTTCGACAAGTGTTAAACTATCTCTCCTTGATTTTTTCTAAAGATTTCCAACAGATTGTCTATCCAAAATTTCGGATACCACAAGTTTAAACTCTTCCAGACATATTTCTCGAAGTGGATCCTCGCCAAGGGCCTGGGTTACTGGCACAAGAGTGCCTTGGGTCGACTGCATGCACTCCTTTAGCCATCACGTTACAAGATAGGCATAACTTCTCAAACAAACATCACTACATTCACATCCTAAGTGGAATTTACCAAGTGGGCATACATGGGCCTACATTTTGAACTAAATTTTGATGCCTGATACACTTTATTGTCCGCCAACGACATTTTACAACTACATCTTTTGCCTACCCTATTTTTAACCGTAAGAGATACTGTTCAATTGAAAACTGTATTGCCTGAAGCTTATGCTTTCTTCAAAACGAATCTGTAATTCAACCTGAATAAACTCTTCCTTTTAGTAGACATGGGGCAATGAAATAGTGTCGATTGTCAGTTTATGCAACGGCAGAAAGTCTGTTTGATTTATATATTAGATTTAATTTCGCCATCTATTCAACCTCCAAAAGAAAGCCTCTTAATATACGCGTATAGGGTTAACATTTTGTTAGGTATACTAAGGAGAAGTTGAAATTGCAACCTATCTGGATGGTAAATAACTTTAAAGATGTATGGCAAAGTGGAAGAATGTACAAAAACCAAATACCTGGTCATCAAGAAAGCACTGGAATCTCGTAACCCAAGTGTCCTTAAATCGCTTAAGACAAATAGTTGAATGAATGAATTCAAGCCACAACAACAACAACAACAACAACAAGTACTACTACTACTACTACTACTACTACTACTACTACTACTACTACTACTACTACTACTACTACTACTACTACTGCTGCTGCTACTATTTTAACTACTACCAGTACTAACTTTAAAGTTATGAAGAAAAAGGGCTCAAGAAAGATTTTCAAATTTTGCTAAATTGCTTTGAGGGTCACTCAAAACCAGTGCTCTATCAAAATTAAAGCATTTATCTTATTGTGCCAACGTTGTGAAGTTGAGGTAAGCTACATTCACTAAAATCCCAGCTTTTATATGAAAAATATTATTGTCATATATACTTGACGTCCATGAAAATGCCTCAATACTTCTTACATACTGTCTTATTAGTGCCCAGGTCTAGCTAGACTAGCATCTACTAGCCGATTATATTTTAGTTTAGTTTTGTTCTGTTTTGGATAGCCAACAAAATGATAATTATAATTTGTAGTCCAACTGAGTGTCTGACATTTGCTGTCTCTAACGACTTTTATACTATAAGATACGGATTTAAGAAGTCTTGTCGAGGGTTTTTGAGGACATTCTGAATTTGGTAGGTGGCATATGCTGATACCTTATGATACTTCCCACGGATTTATAATTATTACGAAAAATGACTTGGTTACTTTGTTTTTATGCTTACCTCCAAATACTTATCTACTTATATTTGAGCTTATAGCAGCTGCTCAATAATGTCATTTTCTTGTAGCCATAGAATAGAACAAACTAAACCTAGAGGAACTTAGAAAGACACCCTTCTAAACGGCTCAGCTAGTTTGCAATTTAACTTAGATTCTTCCATATGGACTCGATTTGCCGTTTTTATTAAGGCACTCTATAACTTACCAAGGACTAGATGAAAAAATGTAAGAAAAACAATCTTTTTAACTTTACTTTGTTTAAAAAAATTTTAATGAGTATTACCAAGACCATCTAAAAACGGAGAAAACGATAGTACCATTGCGGCCAATTTCGTCATACCTTGCTTTTATAAGAGTTGTTTCCTGGCCCTAATTACCTACTCAAAAGATATTTTGGCACATAATAGGAATACATAAGTAACATAAATTATCAAGCATTTAAAATTTAAGGCCAACTAGATACGAATACAAGTTTAGGCATTTGCATGAATGGATTAACTTATAAAGATTAGCCTAGACAAGTAATTTCATCACTAAAAATTATACCCATGAAGAAATGGTTTGATTTCCGTATGTAACTATAGATTTGGTTCCTATATAGGATGGGCTGTAGTTTTAACTTCGTTTTGGATTCACCATCAGCCTAAGCTGGATTCAGACCAAAGATGGACAGCTGGACATATTTTATTTCAGAACATTTTATTTACTTTTTAAAGCTTTATTGGGATGACAAAGAAACCAAAACGAAATAAAACTAGTCTGCATGAAAATGATCTTTTGGGATGTGAGCAAAGTCGTTTCCTCCCTCCGATTCATTGAGTTTAGACATTTATCCATTCTTGCTCCGAAAGGGGGAGTAACAGACCGTCGTGAGAAAGTTCTTGATTATATGAAAGGATGCCTTATAAATCGAAACTTCAGAATCGATATAAAAG